TCCCCAGACAGGAATTTACAAGCCCACCCACAGCTTTGTTGTCAGCTGGTATCAAGAGGTGCTGTTCCGCTGACTCTGTCCCTGACTGGGCCTAACTATGTAGTCATTAAATGACAAGCTCATTGAAAACCAGCATTGTAAAGTCCTGTGAAGTTCATGTCTTCAGTTTTCCTTCCAATAACAGATTTAAATAAACAAACAAGCAAAAATTACTGTCAGTGACTTACATATTGTAAGCATTTTCTATCTTTTTACTCTTCCAATAGGTCTGTGTGCAGTAGGGGAAGGTTTCTCATGAAATTTCATATAACTAGAAAGGAAGGTTTTAATTCAGCCTTCACCAAATACATTTTCAGTAACAGGAGAGGAGGGCATTCAGACATTTCCAGGCACAAAATCGATTCATAGTAAAATGCTACCTGGGTTTGAGATTGAAAGAAAGAGAAATACAACATGCATTAAAACTTCTGATTCTTGATAAAGCCTGTTATTTTTTCCAAGTATGGTCGTATGTTTTAAATATTTATTCAAATATGAACTCTGACAGAGCCATTAAAACCTGAATTTTAAGTCCAATATCTTTCCCTATCAGGTACTGAGCCTTCAGACTACATCAGGGCAAAAGTTTCCCATTCAGCAATGCCAGTTGAGGCACATGTACAGAAGTAGGACTTTTCCCTGATGGTTATGGATAAGTTGGGAAACGCTGTTGTCTAAAACTAAATTATTTCAAACTTAATGGACCTTAAAAATAAAAAATTGTATCTTTTTATATTTGAGGAAAATGTCAAAAATGTAACAGTTTTTTCTCTACCTTGCAGTGCTTTCCCCAGAGGCTGCCTAGCTTTTACAACATCCTATGGGATTCCAAGCCTCACAAGCTGAAAAGGGCAAGGATGTTTCTTGGAGATTGCTGCCTTTTCTATTTCCTTTGGTTTTCTTGAGCTGAGGGTATTTGATGGCTGAAATGAAGACTGCAATGACTGACACGATTTTTTCTGCTTGCACTTTGGTTATGTGAATGGAACTCCTGAATGCTTATAGTGACACTGTTATAGGTAAGTTTTTGAATCGTATTTATAGTCATACATATATTTTACTATGCATATAGCATCTAGAGCTTGCTCCAAAATCTGGCTCAATATGTCATTCTGTCGGGTGTAACTTAACAAAACTCCAAAATTTTTAAAGGCACAGTCTGGCAGCTTGATTTTTGTTTTCTTTGCATCATTGCTTCGTTTTCTGCATTTCACTATTTATTTACATAAATTTTTAACATTATATTTCTAGGCATTGGCCCATTATTCCCCCTGTGTTCCTTAGGGCCAGAGAAAAGATTTGTTTCAGAATCACTATCACATGTATGGAGTGAAAAAACAGAAGGTAGAATTTTACTATAATGTATAGAAGGTATTTTTCTTCTAATAAATGTAAGGCATTACATCAATGGAAACTGAGTCAAACAGCCTCCTTACCATTGAACTCTAGCCACATTTGCTACAGATTCTTCAAACAGTGTTCCCACACTGTGTCCCTGTCATAAAGTTTCTGTTCTAGCAGTATTACTGTATAAAGGATATATTTTGTAGGAGTGGATTCTTTCCATTCTCACTTTAGAAATGATTCTTGGAATCTCACAGAGGCTGCTTATGCAAAAGTCTAAACATTTCCTTTTCTTTTTGGTGAGATTTATACCTATAATATGACAACAAAAAGGTAATGCAATTTTTTAATGTTTACAAACATTTTTTCCCTCATTTCATCTGGGAAGGTTGCATAGATAAACATTTTTAAAACAAGTTATAATTAGGTGGCTGCTAAATTTTGTAATGGGGTGTCCCCCTCTAAGTTCTTTTTTATTAGTTAAACAAATATGCATCTTTCAGCTGCGCATTAGAAAATAGGACTGACACATTCAAAATTTGTTCATAATAGCCGAGACAGTAAAGGTTGCTGCAGAAAACTTCCTCACAGCTTGGCTCATAACTGCAAACTTTATCATCATGAGTCTTAAGATATGTTACATTAAACAATTGGGACAAGTATCAAATTCCTCAGTATAGTTCTTTTATTTTGAGCCTCGCTACATCCAAAATAAACTGTTCAAGAAGGAACACAGGGAGGCCTCCTTCACTTTTGATTTTCAAGCATACTTTCTAAAAGAAGTTTAAATTATTTAGAGATCGAAGCACCTAAGTTGTAAGTATTTTGAGATGTCTGACCATGGCTTTGTAATAAGCAATAACATTAAAAAAAAAAAAAAAGAAATGTGCACCGTGTTAAAAATATGTTAAATGTAATCAGAAAGTTTTTTCTTTCTGACTGTGGCTGTTATTTGTTGACATCAAAATGACTTTTACCTCATATACACATTTCCGTCCTTTCCCCTCTTCTGAATACTCAAAGATTTCAACCCAAAAGACAGGTAATTGTCTGTAATTTAATTTAAATAATATATAAAGAGATACATGTTTATTTTGTAAATAAGAGTTGTAGTCTGGGCAGCAAAAATTAAGGAACTGGCTGGTGGAAATTAAAGAACTTCTTCCTTCCCTTGTTTTGTCCTAGCTCCTTCCTTCCTCTGCCAACAATCACGATTCTTTCTTCAAAGGGAGCACGCAGTTAGTCAAAGCCTGACTTTTCAGTTTTTCTTTCACACTGAACAAGCTGAAGCAAATTCAGCAGTGCCATCCAGGAGCTTGTTTGCTTGACTCCTGAAGAAACTTAAATCTTGTCAATGGCATGCGCCAACACGGTTCTTTAAATTACAGCTGTACTAGTTTACGTAAAAGAGAGAATATAAACCAAAAGGTCTTTTTCTTAACATTTTAAAACTGAAATACCAAAATACTTAGTCTCCTTTTTGCATAAACTAAGGACAGTGTTGCCTAAATACACAGGATTCATGGCACAGATGCAGATGAACCTGTATGTTACATGCCACAGATTAATATGCCTGTGAAGTGTCAAACTTCTGGTCCTTAATTCTGCTTGGAATATCATGCAAGTCAGCCTTTTTGGTGGGTTGCCAAACAGCAAATGGCCAGAAATTCATCAATCACTGCAGGTAATGCATAACTATGAAGCATGGCAAGATTGACAGACCTGTCTACCTTGCAATCAAAGGTGTTGTTTCAAATATTCTTCTTCCTCTTGAATACCAAAGAGATATGAGTTTTGTCCCTATGGACATCTCCCACAGGCATAAAACACCAAAGTGTTTATAGGTCTGGGCCATGGATTCTTTTCTCTAGAGAAGTGTACCACATCATAGAGCTTTGTACTGCATTACTTTTGCTGTTCATTAAAATCAGCCTTATTTCCTATTGCCATAGCTGTTCTCTTTTAACTTTAGCATCACCTTTGTGTCTGCATTACTAACTAAATTAAACAGAAAAGTGAGGAGTGTCTATAATATTTGAAAATGTGAATAATGGATTGTAAAGGTATGTTTTCTCCCATTTGTGGCTTTTATACATTTTTATTTTATTAATTTCTGCTTTTTGAGTACCTGAACTGCAGGCAATGTTCAGTGTTACAGATTCATAAGACAGCCAGATGATCATTGGTTAAAACATATACACAAAACTCCTCGTCATTCCCAATAACTTTGTCTCTCAAAAGATTTTCTTCTCCAAAGGTGTTTCGCTTTCATTTGAGATATTCTATCTTTTATTCTGCTGCTTTTGGTCACAGGTAGTGTAAGAAGAAAACAATAGAATTGCAAGTTACATTAGCTATGGAATTTCTTCCTTTTCTATATTTCATACCAACATAAACCTCTGACTGCCAATTTGGATTGTGAAGACAGTGGATGCTGGACTTACACTGGAAGACTGGAATGGCACACCCTAAAAGCCTACGAAAGTGTAAGCATGTGTGCCTGTCAGTTGACCATAGTCAGTTGACCGTGACCCATTCACTAACCTTGAATGAACTGGCAGTAGTACATTTCAAGAGCTATTTAGAGAAAGACAAAGCAAAGAAGGAAAAAATACAGTAGAAACACATGGGATGAGTTGGATCAAGTAAATGCTGATTTTTACATTTTCTGCTTCTCTGACTCTGCACCCAGCACTGCGCTACTTGGCAGGAAAATGTGATTGCTAGTGCTAATGAGTCAAATGTTTGTGAGGAATGCTGATTATTATATAACCACTCAAAGAGCCTGAAAGATCATGTTTCTTTCAACTGGGCAGCAGAGATGGGCTGCCTAAGTAATAATAGTAATTTGTATCATTTGCTTAAAAATAGTATATTTTATATTAGCAAAGGAAAGTTTGCAGTATCTTTCAACCACAGGATGCTAAATAAACAGTAACCAACAGTATTCCAGTTTTTACAAGTTGGAAGGCCAAAGCAGAAAAATGTTGAATTAGCCACACTTTGAAGGCAGTTCCAGGAGAGGGAAGGGAAGAAAACAAAATGAATATCAGTAAGTAATTATTTGTGTTGTGATAATGCTCTGAAGTTCTATTCCTGAGACAGTACCCCCATTAAGAATACATTAGAAATGTGCATCACTTCATGTAATGCACAGAATAAGTAAATAGTTCTGAGCACACTTAAATAAACATCTTGCAAATTTGAGTCTGGGAGGTCAGCTAACAGTAGGAAAGCTATTTTTCCTCTCAATTTTGCTTTATTCTATTCTCTACTAACAGGATACTATAGCTTATGACATATGGTCCACTTAAATTAGGCAGGCACTCGAAACCTTGTTCGTTCATCTCAGTGTGTGAAGCCAAGTTGTCTATTAATAGGAAAAGCTTTGCCCTGGAAGAATGTGTATGCAGCAGTCAGTCTCTGCATGGGGGAAATGAAGGATATGTTACAATGGGGAATAAAATGAATTTCTTATGTATTACAACCAAAACCACTACAATGTAATACTGTTCCAAACAAAGTAGAGAAGTGCTGTTAAATCTGTATGTCTAAGAGGTGGTATGTTTAGTGACTTCATGTCTGTTACCCTGTACTGACTTTCCAGAGCAGTCTCCAAGTTGGAATAACCTTTCTCTGCTACCCAAGTCCAGAAAGGAATAAACCAAGACCACCAGCTAAGATATTATGTAATTGCTATGGACAGAAGCATTGAATGCCTTCAGGTACTGTATTTAAATGAAAAGCTTTAGCCAAAAACAAACAACAAAAGGCATGTAAAAAGGATTTTTTGTTAAGTAATTTTTTATTAAACTAGAACTTTTACAAGAATGTTACAATAAAAACCCTGACAGGAAATAGCATTGTTAGAAAGACCCAACAAAATGCCCACTTTCCTATACAACATACTTCAGTGTAAGCTTAAAAAAAAAATGATTAAAATATTTGTCTTTTTGGAATGGAGTTATAGAACTTGCTCAGTGATGATTATTATGCAAGAATTGATATATATGTAAATTATCACTAAGCACTGTTGATTATCCATTCCTCTGCTTCTGAAAAAATTCAGTTTTGCTGTCATGATTCTATACAGCACTGCAAAAATCGTTTTCCTAGCCCATCACTTTGACTGCCAAATATAACACTCCTTTTCTATCAGATATAAGCAGCTTGTCTTCACTTTCAAAGCCATTCATAGCTTCACCTCATCCAACCTATCATCCTTCACTCGGGATCAAGAAATCACTTCTTTCACTCTTTAGCCTATGATACCAGCCTCCTCCATCTACTTTTCAGTTGCTCAGTTTCAAGCTTTATCCCATGCCATCCTTCACATTTGGAAAGAGCTTCTTTAGACATCTGCAAAACCACCTCATTATCTTCTTTCTAATCCTGTCTGTGAGGTTGCCTTGCCATTATGCCTTCAAAAGAAGTTTCAGAGTTTGGACTGAATATGTCTAGTTATAATGAGTTGCTCCCAAAAAAAGATTTCTGGATCAGATTCAAATAGAGCACTCCCTAAATATATGAAGGTTGGTATTTCCTACTCAGATGCAGTACTGTCAGTTCTGTTCCTCATTTTCAGAGGATGTTGCCTTGCCGTAGTTTGGAACCTATATATTTCTGCTTGAAAACAGAACAGAACAAACTCAAGGGTGATCTGTCTGGCTTGCAGGCGCAGCGGTAGTAGTCACTGACACGTCTGAAACAAAGGGATAGTCTAGAGGGTGTACTGGCTTTTTCCTTCATATGGCAAGGGATTGGTAAGGTATTAATTGTACTGGCTAAGTGAAATGGTCCTGCTGCTGGACACAGGTATTAGGATTTGTCCTATACTTGTGAGGAAAGACTGGCAGGACATTTTTAGTTTTAGTGACCAATTTTAGGGGTGTTGTCTCTGCTTTGTTCAAATTTCTGTTGTGGAACGAATGAGTAGTCATGGGAAACATTGTGTTCCACGGGGTTATCATCTTAGCTGAGTACATTTTTCTTTGAAGCAATTTCGTGTGTAGCTTGTAGCCTTGAACATGTTTGCCTGTTGTGTCATGTTTGTATTCCCACCTCCAGTGGCAATGATTCAGGACCAAGTCATCCCTTTACAGGAATTATTTACAAAGGACACTGGAAATTCCATGGCATCTCTCTGTCATCTTTCCTTCCAGACAGTGCTTCCAAACCTCTTCTGAAGGTGCTTGTGCAAAACAGAGCACATTAGTACTTCTGCTGGGTTTTGTCTCAAAAAAAATATTGCAAAGCATTTCTAATTTTGGTGAAGATCTTATTTTGGGATGCTGGAGAGAAAAGGTGCCTGCTGCCTCCTCTCCCTCATCTGTCCCTCCTGGCACCCAGCCCCAGCCACCAGGGAACTGTTGTGGGTGCTAAAGAGAGAAGAGGCCACAGTTTCTCCAAGTTCCTCACCTTAGGTTTTCTTGGGCCTCCTCTATAGTGGGGTTCCCATCCTCCAAATTCATTAGTATTTCCAGTGGCTGAAGAGCCAGCAGATTCATCGATTACTTTGCATAGAGATGTTAACATTCAGACCCCTCTGTAACTGCAGAGCACTGTGTTGGTCTCATGTTAGTCTGTCTGGCTAAAATCTTCTGAAAAATACTATAATTTTCAAATGATTAAAATGTCTTTCAGAGAAGCAGTGAGCAGATTCAATTTGAGAATCTTTAACATAGGGAGGAACGATTTTTAAAACACCTTTTTACATTGCCTTTCCTTAATTTATCAGAAGTGGATCTGTGCTCTTAGAAAGTCAAGCTGGGATTTCTCCAAAGCACCAATGGGATGTAGATAGCAAGTCAAGGTCTTGTTCAGAATTTTAGTCTAGAAACACCCACAGATTTCTCAAAATAAAGAGTAAAATGACTCCCAGACTGAGGTTTTTTTACTAAGTTTCAGCATAAAATTATATTTTTATAGCCAAGCTATAAATCTCTGAAAATAAATTTATGTGGAAATGTTGATACAGCCTTAGTTATAGCACTGGTAATGGCTATAGCACTCAAATGATTTTATGGTGAAGGCTATTAATCCCAAAGAAAACTTTCTTGGAAGAAGTTGAACTTTGAAGGTCAGTGAGATCTCAGAGGAAGTTGGGTTGAAAACTAAGAAAAGCTTTTGTCCATGTAAATCAATTGTTACTGTTTTCCTGTCTGAGAAATTTTTAATGCAAAGACTAATAATTTACAAACAGGAAAAGGGAGAACCTCTAAAGGTCTTATAAAAAGGGGCGATGCATAACATTATTTTTTAGATAGTGCTACTTTAGAATCTTGTTCTAAAGCCATGATGGTGGTTTAACTAAAGGAAAAACTATGCAGTTCACTTCCGTTCCCTGGTTTAAAGCTTATTGTCAATTTTAGGTCGTGGTACCGTAACTGCAGATACTGTTTTGTGAGAATTGACCCCCACATTTCAGCAGAACTTACTACAATTAACAGAGGATGTGCAAGAATTTTTAATAGCATGGCCTAGAAGATCTGAAGAAGATTTTCTTTTAACAGTATTTTGAGGCAAAAAGTTAAGTCAGGCGGGTCTGTTTTAAAGGGGAGAACTGAGAGTGTATGGCCTCACAGTGAAGTTGCGTTAGGCAGAAGTGCAAGTCTTCTAGTGTAGTGTGAGAAGCCCACTCTTAGCTCCTTCCAGGGATACCCAGGAACCTAATGCCATTAAGCCTCTGTGATTTAATTCCTTAGAAAGCCATCACACCGTCGTTTCACAAATGGTCAAGAATCTGCCATAGGGTTTGACTGGTTTCCTGTTGTTAGAACTGAAGAATGCTTGAAAACATAGCAATAAATCCTCTCCTTTGCTACAGCCAGGTAAATCAAGAACGACTCAGTTGAGAGCCTGAAAGCAAAATATAGGCAATGAAGACTGAATATTTTGTGTATTGGCTACAGGGTTTTGGTTAGGCTTCTGGTTCCTTACCTGTCTAAATAACAGGATCCTACTGTGTCCCTTCAGTTTTTACTGCTTTTGGTTTGGAAGCAATGACAACAGACAAGCTCATCTGTTGATTAAAATAATAGTGATTAAGGTATTTTGAAATTTGTCTGCTTTTATTGAATTTGTGCACTAGCAATTGAAGCTATGTGTGTGGGTGGGCTTATAATTACTAATTAATCACAGCTAGCAATTAGTGTGTCTTGTTTAGTGCTTTTTCTTCATTTTGTATTGGTTTTCTGCTTATTACAGAAAAGTTAAGAATTTAAAAGGAAAAAGAAAGCTGCTATGTGAAAAAAAAACATACTTAAATGGAAGCATGAGGAAACTAATATTTATACAAGACTGTACATGGGCACTATGCAGCTAGTCTAATAGGATGTTCTACACTGCCAGTGTCACAAGCTCAGAAGCTTCCACAGGGCAGGGGAAGCACAACCCCCGTTGATTTGTTCCTTCTCTCTTTCAGGAAATGTGGATATGACAACAGTTAAGGTGAACTGGGAATGTTGAGCATGAGGACAATGATGATATTAACCCTGAAATCGTTTGGTAAGTGCTTTGGAGATGAGTCGGTAACTCATGAAGAGAACATGGGTAATGATATGCCTGTGCTCTCCCTGAGCTGCTGAAGTGCCACTTGTATAAATTGGTCAGTAGCACCACTTGATCTAGGGCCAATAGTACAATGTCAAAGATTGACTTTCTGGTGTTATTGCTTTTTTAAGAAGTGCAGCATAATGTAAAGAAATGTATATGTGAATTCAAAGAGAAATTTAAGTTTTCAAGTCTGTTATAGGTACAATTAATGTCAGGGCACCACAAATGCAGGTCCACTGTTCACATAGAACATCATGAAGGTATGTTCAAATTGCATGTTTGTTGCTATACAGCTTTCCAAAGCTCTCTTTTCTATTGATAACTCTGTTTTACACCCAGAGCTAGTATGACTTTAGTGTTTTGATCCCATAGTGTATTCGGTGTCTGAGACTGGCTCCTGTTCTAATCCATGCCATGGAATCACTTCAAAGACTTCCCCCCTCAGCCCCAGTTTAAGCTGTTCCTATGAAACTGACTTGTACTATGTGATTTGTTATTGTTTTCTACAAAACATTCCTTTAAAATCATCTCAAAAAATCACTGATACTTAGTGAGATGGTTCACAACAGTTTTATGACTTGGATTGCATACAGAAGATGCAGGAAGCACTTAACCCTGTAAACGCTAATACAATTTAGTCATCCAAATTCAGATAGTTACATCATGAAGATTTCTGAGACTATGTTTAATCTTTTATTGTTAGTAAGGTTTGGGTCAGCTGATTTTGCTTTTATTTGAATAGAAGAGAATTTCTGGAAAGATTAAAAGGAATTCTATTAAAATTTAAATAATGAACTGTTGTTCATTATTTACAGCAGTAAAAGATTCTGTCAGAAGCCTTCTGTACAGAAAGGTGGACTTCAGTCTCATGGCTGTTTAATAAGAGAAAAAACTTTTTGTCATTCCTATCATACGTCTCAGTTTTCAACACTGACATAATTCCTAATACTGTTTTCCAGTGATCGTTTCTTAAATCAAAAGATTTAAAAATCAGTTTTGATTGCAGTTTTGACATTTTCTGTTTGCAATCAAATTCTGTGGCTAGCATTTATTGTGACCTCTGTGCTAAAGCAGAGATGCCAAAAATCACTGAAAGTGATATAGCAACATAAGAGAATACAACAGTTTAATATGAACCCATTTGAAAATCTTTATTGTGATTTTTTTTCTCCCTCTCAGTGTACGGCAATAGCATAATACCCAGCTGCATGATAATATTGGCAAGCAAGGCCATGAATTTCAACTGCAAACCCTAAACACTGAATGTGCTGTGCTTTTTAAAGAAATCCCCTTTTGTACAAGATATGTAATACCCTTTTGTGCTGGAGTGGTTTGCATAATAATAGTTTTCTTTAGTTATTCATTGTCATGTGATGGAGCTGCGAAGTGAGCTAGGCAGTAACAGCATAAAAGACAATTTTCCATTTTTCTCTATTTTTTCAGAGATTTTCTCATCTTTTAAATGTAAATACTTGTAACTATCTTCAGAAAACATATCCAGTTATTAACATTTCAGGCCTAATTGTTACTTTTCTTAATATCTACCTTCTTAGTTGAGCTTTCCTTTTTCAAAAGAAACAGCAATAGTATTTCCTTTGCACTCATAAAGAACCTCAAGCATCTTAAAATAATTGGGTATATGATCATCTGGTGTAAGTCACCATAATCTATTCAGAGACATTGATACTTTGCATTGATACTTGCAGAACTGCTTAATTGGAGAAGCCAAGCAAAATTTATGTTATTAAGTGTGTAATTTATATTAGAGCTGTGCATATGTTACACTACACCACTGAGATAAAAGGTACTACCTGACTGAAGAGCCGTCTTAAAAATTAGACTTCTAGGATACAGCTGAGACCAAGCATAAAATGCAATTTTAAGAACTTTCTGATGAGTTTTCCCATGTAAATTTTTTTTTAAGATTCCTCTTGGGCATTTTGATATGTTCTAGTCTGGGTAGTAAGTAAGGAATATTTCCCAAAGGAGATATAACTACATTGAAATGGAACTCAATCTTATTCACAGTGAAAGCTATAGACGAGGGCCAAAGCCATGGGAAGTACCTCAGCTAATGTACAATAAACTAGCTATTATTCCAACTGATACTATCAAAGGATTTTTCCTTTTAAATCAGTGGAGTTATGCCAAGTTACTCTAGTTGTGACTTTGGCCATGAAATTACACATAGTTTTCAACCTCTGGCCTGCAACCACTGCAAATGGACCATTTCCAAACAATCCCTGAAAAGTAACAAAGGAAAGCAAGGCTATAACCATTAGCTTAAATTCAGAGTGCAGAGAGGATTCATAATCTTCCTGGAAAACATTCAGAAGCTTGCAAAGTGAAAAAGGTCAAAACCACGTGGGTTAGATTATTTCAGAACAGCTCACGAGGTGGGTTAACAGGTAACAGTACGTTACCAGACGTTAGCACTGCAAATACCCAGGCAGAAAAGAAATGCTCCGGAGCCAAACAGTCACTCTTTTTACAACTTCATGTGTCAAAATAAGAGACCATTATACATAGCCATCCTTCAAAACTTATATGAATAAATCAAAGCATTACCTTACCAAGCAACAATACATTACTGTTTTCTAAAATATCTGAGATCAGTCTTTGCTAAATAGGGCAACAAGGATATTTCATAGCTCAAATCAGTGATCTGTTCATACCAGAGACAGAAATATGACCACTGAACCCATGGAGGAAACCCTGGAATCTAGGTGAGAAGGTATTACAATGATTGTATGCTCTATAAATCTGTTAATCTGAATCTCACAGTTGAGCCATGGGGTTCTATCCCCTGAGAAATATGATTTGCCTCATATCATTTGGATACCAGATACTATTAATGCACTGCAGGCTAAGCAACATGTTGCAGTCTCTGTTAGTGGTAGTGAGGTACATTAGCTTAGATCATTCTTTTTACCTGGAAAAAAAATTTAAGGAGGATAACATTGAGCAGACTTTTTGGAAGTTTTTTACTGGGAACGTATAGCCCAAGCTTTACTTATTATGTTGTTATAAGGCACCATGAGCAGTGTTGGAATAAGTGCTTGTGCCTCACAGCCGCATACTTATCCCTGGAATACAGCCCTTTCCTTCAGTTTTCCTATTCCCCTCCCCAGATTTCTAGGGTTCTGTGATAATTTTTTTCTCATTCCTATAACAGATGTAGCAAGAACCTTATGTGCTCAGCACTTTCTTTTATAATTTCGTAGAAGTGTTGAAGTTTTTGTGAACAGCAAACTGTGAATGAGAATTAAATGTTTCTGTCAAAAAAAAAGAAATATTCCAGAGTGATGCAGATGGTCAGAAATTGGAGGAATCAGCCATGGGGGTTGGTTTGGTTTTCTTGAAATAACTGTTGTTTAACTTGTAAGTTAATGAACTCTGTACCAAAGGCAATGAATACATCCACCTTTTCTTATTAATAATGATCCTTCAGAAGACTTGGCAAATCTACTGAGGTATTACCTGGTATACACACCTTTTCTGGTATTTTGGCCAATGCAAGTTATTTTGGGGAAGTAAAAGTCGGTTCCAGAATTAAATCTTGACACTGTACATTTAGACTTGGATTAACATGTACCTTGGAAGGAAGTACCATATAACAGAGTCTAACTGTAAGAGGGACAATTTAAACTTGCATGTTGTTCAGTTAAATTTAAGGTGCAGAAACACCTTCCTGTCTTGTATCCTCATTTGCAAGTGATGATGCTGGTCCCTCTCATCTCACACTTGCATTACCCCAGGCAGCTTTGCCAGTTTGAAAGTCTCCAGAAAAAGGGCAGAACTTCTTCTGTAAGATAGTCAGTTATCTCCTAGAATAAGCCCAGCTGTAAGTAGTATTGCAGGCTGAATCTTCCAGTGACTTGACACAACTAGGTTGTATCACATGCAAGTTCACTGATACCAAAAAGGAGAGATCCACAGGCCTTTAGTGAAGTTATAACCTTATGAAGGATGCTTACTGTAAAGTATAGAAAAGTTTTATGCATGAGCATGTAAGTGAGGAGGAAATGTCCTCAGTGCATGACTGGTCTGTTTATGGGGTTAGGGCGCAAAGAGGGTTGTACTGACAATCTGGACTCCAGTGTCCTCTGGGCAAGTTTTGTATATGGCTCTGAACATTTTTGCTAATTTCTATCCCATGTCCTGATTACTTTTTTGAAATGTTTGTGGCTGAGTGCATTGAGAGAGGGAATATCATTTTAGATGTGTTACTGAGATGTTCCTATATGTTAATTCCGGTGACATTTCCACTGTAACAGCTGTCATACGAATTTCGTATGACAGCTTTCTAGTGCAGTGAAATGCTTTAACACGTTTTAGGTGAAGGAGTACTCATTTCTTTGGCAGATAGGTGCACACACGTTAGCCGTTATATTCTCTAAGTCCATAAGAAGTCAGGGTGCAGTATTTCAAAATCCCCTATCCTCCTGGAGTGAGCCCACACAGCTAAAAGAAGCACAAGATGTAGGTGGAAAAACAAGTCTTCCCTTGTGCCTAGCTACAGTGGGTAGGGTTGCAGGGGAAGGACAGACCAGGACAAACTTATTTCTACTCTCTTTCTATGGCAACTTATTAAGAATAGGACCCAGTTTCAACTGAACTGAGCTGCTTCATCATTTTGTGCTCTCTATACATGAAAATGCAGAATTCACCCATCTTCTGGTGCTCCAGTCACTGAGAAAGACTCCCAGACAGCCAAGGACTGAGTCTTAATGAATTTTAAAAGCTTATAAAATGTTCTTTGGTTATATATGCTTTAAGCCAAAAGTTTTATTCTCCCATGTTGGCATGTCTTTATTAACACCATTTATTTACTTTTTATAAGAGTGAGAGCATGACTACTTTTATGCCAGTACATCTGATTGTGTAATGACTTACTTTGCATTTACAGGGATCTATTGTTTCTTATGAGGAAAACTAAAGTTTCTGTGGAGTGTTTAGCTAACTCCCTGTTGAAGTGAAGCAAGACATATCTTTGGAAATCTCTTAAAGCATTATTTCTAATCAGACCCTTGTTTTCACTATAAAAATACATGTGAATTTACAATGGACAAAGATAGAATTATCCCAGAATTGCTTCAGAAAAAAAAAGATTTCTCTCAGAAGAGGTGCGCAGATATGGATTGCTGTGCATGTTACTGTTCTATCAGCAGGCTGGCTTTGATTTTCAGTGCAAGACAATCTCCTGCTGCTTTTGATGGTCAGAAATAATTCCCTTTAAATTGAGCTATTGCATTTCCTAAGTGGAATCGGTCCTTATTTATATGAGTACAAGACAAAGAATAATCTTACCCAGGGATTTTAATATTGCCAGTGATGAAAAACTGAATGCTTGATGTCTCTCTCTGTATTCTCAGATCTTTGCAGTCCCTCAAAGTCTGTCCCAGTTTAATCCAAGAAATTGCAAACTCATTGTAATGAACTATATTCACAGGCCTTTTCTAGATTAGGAGACCGTTCCTCTCCATTCCCACTAAAGATTTTTTGCAAGGTCCTTATAGAGCTAAGCAGACCTTGTTAAAACTTAATTCCATGTTGTATTAGAAACATGTCTAGAAAGGGTTTTTCTCACAGGTTGATGTTTAATTATTAACAGTTATTACTGTTGACTCCCCAGCTAACTTATTCTCTCTCTCTTATTCTTTCTCATGAGATTGGAGGGACTCTGAGATGTATGAAACTTGCATGGAGCTGAAGTTTGCACTGAACAAGACTTGTAGAAGATCCTCAAGTTTTCCCAGCATCTGAGTGTATTTAGAGCTGAGGCCTGGCTGTCTTTTATAACACGTGGTATAGAGCATGAATTACTGTAACAACATTTCCACTGACAGTGAAGTGCTTCCTCAGTAGTTGTGAGCTTATTGTGTCGGTTCTGTTGCTAGGAAAGCCAACTGATTAGAAGGCTGCCGTAGCAGCCAGTTGATGTAATACATGCCTGAGAAAACCCTTATCAGAGCCCTGCACACTTTCAGGAATGCTCACAATTCATCTGTGTTTCTGAATGTGAAAAGAGACCCATTCTTTTTTCATTGCACTGACCTGCTGGAAGCAGCCTCTAAGGAGCTAAGTTTTAAAGCTTGAAATCAGGACTGCTGCCTCCTGCTCTTCATGCCCCTCCCACAGTGACAGTTTCAGCAAAGAAAATGCTGGGTCAGAGAGTGGGTTTTTTCCTCTGTATCTGTTCTGGCTGTGTGATGAAGTCAAAGTGCTCTGAGCTGTTTTGTTTTCCATGTGCAGATGTACTGCTTTGAATGTCTGTCAGGTGCTATCTGCAGTGAACCATGGCATTCAGATTGAGGGCAACAATAGAGGAAAACTGGCCATCAGAAGTGAAGCAGGGAAAAGTCTTGGCCATAATGTTCAACTGCAATTGTCCCTTCCCAAAGGGCGTGACCGATTAAAGACTTGAGTTAGGGGACCACACTGAAGGATGATTATTACTTTATTATTTAGCAGTGAGATACTTTTGATTAGTGCTATTTAAGGTTATGAAATCAAGCACAATCTTTCATTTTTTATTAAAAAACTCCTGTGTTACTTCTTAGTAAGCAAATCATGCAATTTTCTTCCATTCCTTATGCAGTAAAAAACTCCTAAGAAGGAGTATTGCTTTAACTCATGCAAAAATGACATTCTTTGCTCTATGCTGCCAAGAAATATGACCAAAAGAAAACCTTTAGTCTTAGAGGAAATATAAGAGAAGCATGTGTTAGATACACTAATGGTTTGCTGATCTGTGATTTAGCATCACTGGTCCTTTTTGCAGCTGCTTTGTAAAATGCAGGTTAGCTCTCAGATACCTTTCTGAAGGGATTTAATGGATGACCTTGTCTTGCCATAGGAACCTCCACACCCTTAAGCTGAGTGGTTACCAAAGGAAAGTGGTGGCATTCCCCTTAGACAAGAGCTGTATGCACTGCCAATTTTTGGCTTTTGAAATGATTCCACAAGATCTTGGCCATCTGAGTGCAATTCAAAATACCCTGTTATGTTCACCCATCTGAGGAGGAGGGATCACTGAGGGGACATGCTGTACTTAAGATCTGAGCAATCACATGCCTTTAAAATTTGATTAGGATGATACTGAGATAAGTCATTTTGTAAAGACATTAAAGATGTGAAAAGAAGGAGAAGATGGGCTGTTTACCCCTGAATGTGTGCAGCTTTGCTGCATCAAACAAGTTATATAAAGGCATTCTGGTCAATCTTCCAAAATAAAAAATGTTAAGCAGATTTTAGTAACTGCTAGTGCAAACTTTGCAAATTCAAAAGATTTGTGTATATTTGCCCATGCACATGTTTGTATCCTCAGATCTTTGGTTATTGACCAGCCAGTCTGCTGCTAATAGAACATGCAAAATAGGTAACACAAAAGCCCAGTACCATCTCAATGATTCTCCAGTTTTTCTGTGTCCCTTGAAGCAAAGGAAAGTGTGAAAAGATCTGATTTTCATTTTCATAGGAGTTTTTGTTTTATCAAATACATCCATCTCGGTTTTGAAAAGTTGGCTGAAGCAAGAAAGAACAGTTGAATATTTGTGCTTACAAATAGAATTTCATCAAAAAGTGTCACTACAACTCACTTGTACCAGGGACGATCCTCTGCAACCTTAGCAAGGTCCATAGAGTGCAGCAGGGAGCAATGCAGAGGAAATCAAACCAGTAGAAAGTGCAGGTACACAAAGTACAACTGGAGAGGCCAGCAGTGAGGAGTGGTATTGTATACTGGTGATCTACAAAGAAACCAGTTTAAATATAACTTGGATGTCTATCACAGGGCATAGGCTTCCTTCAAATTGACTCTGTCCATTCTTTTCACTTATACTCCATGACCATTGAACTGCTGTGTTTTAATTGTGTCCAATCCAAGATACTGCTTGGATTGTTCTGCAATAAATTCTTCAGATTCAGCAGGAGGGAGCCCGCAGATGTTAAAGTAACCCCATCTCTGCAGCCAGTGGTGCCACCACTTTAAAGAAAGGATTTTTTCTTCTGGATCACTCAGGGTTTTCCCAACAGCCAGCCCTGTTGTACAGGTGATGTTTTGGATGTGTGCCTGTTCTCTACACTTGCCTTTGATCGCTTTCCTCTTTATAGTTCTTTTCTTGCTAACTTCCTAATGTCTTGCAGAAGGCATTAGTTTTATATGTGTCTGCCCTTGCAGTCCTCCCTCACAAAAATGCTTCACCACAGTATGCCCTTTTAGACCTTAGTCATTCTTGCTTACTGCTGTACAGAGGGCATAGCCAACCCTGGGAAATCGCTTTCTGTGGCATGCTGATGTATTGTGCTTAATGTATTATCAGCAAGGACAAGTCTGCCTCAGGCAATTCCAGCAACCCAAAAAGCACAGGGACTTTTTATACAACAGCTCTTTTAAAAACAAGTGCATATCTGATGCAGAGAAACCTTTTTCCTTTGATTTCCTGCAGGTAGAAGCAGCAGTTGATGCTACACAGAAAGACAAGCCAACAAGACATTGCTCAGGTGAAACAAAGTGGAAAATAACTATGGTGAATTTCATTTGTACTGTCCGTTCGCATAACATTGCAGAGAACTTCATGCAGCACCTAGGAGAAAGCACGTTCTAGAAGGGTTTCTATTGTCATCCCAACACCAAAAGGGTAATCCTGACATCACTACGAGAGGGCTGTTCTGTGAGGTCCACTCCTACCACTGTGTTTGCATGAGAAAATAAGAAATCTTATGCCTTGTTGTAAGGCCCTGGAAGGCTGCCCTTGCTAGTCAGAAAAATAGAAGGAGGCATTCCAGAGTGCAGGTCGTTTTGCAGTTGCATTGGAGCTCACAGGATTGCAAAGCATCCCCAGTCTGGGAGACAGAGCTGCTGTCCCCAGCAGATTTTTAAATGAGTTTTCTTTCCTTTAAAATTAAGTCCAGAATGAGTGGTTTTGTTGACAAATGACTGGCAGTTCTGTAACTCCAGACATCAGGAATTCTAGCACAAATCCCATACATGTGTTTCTAAATTAGTACACAAAATGACCATATCATCTGATCATAATTTAAAGAATTATTCAGGATTCAGAAAGAAACTGATCTTTTAGGCAGTTTCACTTAATTTAGGAGCTTGTAATGAACAGGAATTTTTAACTTGTTTGAAATCTCATTTCAAACTGAGCTCTAGCTATAACCTAACCTTCTGACTGTGTACACTTATACTGCCAACGGCTAGAAATTCAAGTGCACACTGTTCTTCTGTCCTCACAATAAACTTGAAATCTCTCTGGTTTGGGCCTCAGCCTGAAATGTTCTGCATGCCTTCTCGTGTCCTGACCTTGGCTGTCACAGTGGCACCCTGCAACATACAGGAAAGCATCATTGTTTTCTATCAGCCTCCATTTTAGTGTATCAAGATGAAAAATAGAGTTTTTAAGCATATGCACTGCTGCATGCATTCTGTCTGTATGTCTGCTCTGCCATGTGTACATATCACCACCTAGGAAACAGGTACAGACATTGTCTGAAGCTAAGGGAAACAGGAGGTTGAGGAATTACATCTTTTTCAGAGAGAGACCATTAGGATGCTGCTCATAGGGCTGCCTGAGAAAGCCAAGGTATTTGGTATCCCAGTGTTACATGGCAGAAGCCTCCCTCCTGCATCCTGGACAAGGCTTATACTTAGAAAACTATACAATTAGAAAAAAAAAATCTGCAGCTGACAATCCATTTAGTAATTTTTACTATGTCTGCCCTTTTTGTACCTGCTCCCTTGATGAAGAGGGTGCACTCACGCACTGAAGCTGGGAGAGAACGCCCTGTTTAATAGGATAAAACAGAACTTCGACTGCCACCAGTCACATATTGTCTCTTTACTTTTGGGGGTCTTTTTTCCCCCCTTTATTTTTTTAGGTATATTCCCTGAGTTCATCAGTCAGGATGAGCAGCATCGTGCCTTCACAGATGTGCTCAGGAGGAACCTTCTGGGACAGCTTATCAAAGGGCTTTATCTTTTTGCTGACAAATGGGTGCCAGGCCAGAACTTAAGGAAGCCTTCAGAGAAAATTTGGAATGAATTAGGGAATCTCAAAGGTATGAACCTGCAGTAAAACCAGTGCAACAAGTGATTTATCTTCTTCTACTCGCTTTTTGACAGGCTGAACACTCAGCTTTGTGGCAAGCTGTAATATCACCTTACCTACACCCACATTTATTTTTCAGGTTTCCTGTCTGACATTCAAAAAAAACTGAGGGCAGGCAGGCAATGGCCTGCAGTAATTTACAGTTCGTGTCCCACTGATATCTTCAGACATGAAAGCTGCTTGAGCACCTCTGCTAATGCTCCTCAAGAAAATTACCCGGACAATTAAGCATGGAAGTCAAGACAGAATGCCAGTGATTGTTTCCCTCTGCACTGTGGAGCTGGATTCATGTCAGCAAGTAGGTGCTGCTCTTTTTCTAGGAGTACAGAACAAAGTTTGTTCCTCTGTCTCTCAGAAACTCAGGAGACACCCAGCTTCCCAAAGTACATCAGTTCCAGTGCTAAGCTGATGTTCTATCACTACAGAGGACTTCTGATGCTTAGGTAAGACCTTTTATGGCATAAGCTTATTTACCACAAACTGTTTTACTTCCCTTATTCAGATACAGGAAGGATAGACCAATGGGCAGAGTTTTATCATGCTATTCATGATCAGGACAATAGTGGTAGATATAGAGCAGCACTAACAATTTGAATGGAAAACATAAATGGTCTTGGTTCTGGAGAAATTAATGTAAGCTTACCAATTTTGCCAAATTTATTTTTTCCACTGAAAAAGATGTGGGCAGAAATGTTTTTATCAGTCTAGGAGCCAAGGTATTTTTCTCCATTTGCAAACATAGAGTTTGCAAGTGTGTTGGTAGCATTAAGCTCTTAGTAGAAAAACACCCATTTCTCAAAAACCATTCTTGGATTTCTGCTGACCATCTCAGCCCATAGACCAAGAACTGAATGTGCATGTAGAATCAGTTACTTTCTCCCTGATAGAGTAATATATACTAGGAAACAGAGACACTATTTGCTGTGCTGAGCTGGCGAGCACTGCCCTTGCAGCACCCCAGAGAGCAGGCTGGCTGCTCTGGGTCTCTCTGGGTCTGAAGCACAGACCTCAGCTGGCCAGAGTCAGTGGGATGCTGTCAAGGGACTTAGGTCATCCCCAAAGTGCAGATTCAGTTGTATAAATATAGGCAGTCATCTTCAGAAACTGTTGCTCTGAACTGCACCATTTTCACCAGCAATAAAACAAGGCAAGAGCTGGCTGGTGAGAAGCCCAGAGTCCTACATGTAAATGTAGCTTTGTTACTGAAAAAGGGAGGAGGGCTTAATTCCCTCTCATACTTCTTGTTTAAACTAACTTACATGGCTGCAGCACAGTGGGTGTTTGTAAATGACCTTTACTAGATGTGTTTTCTGGTTTAAATTTTCACGTTGAAATGAACAGTGAAGAAATCCAGATGTGTTGTTGTGTTATGATGAGAATATTTTGAATGGGCAGATGTTCTGGTATGCTCTCAGGTCAGGACATTTCTGTATATTTTGTATTGCTTCATTGTTTAATGTCAAGAAACTTGATTTTCTCAGCAACTTTCGTTAATTTTTATGAAATGTGTAATCAGATATGGATAGATACAAATACCCAGCATCGATTCCTTTCTTCTGATTCCTGTTCTGCTTTTATACATAGAACTCGTGCAATTAGATTTTTACATTAAACAGATTCCTTATTTGAAAGCTCACTTGGCTTTCAAATTTAGATTTGGAAAAACATTGAATGAATGAAATTAAATGTTTCATTTGGATAGCACACTGACGAAGAAAAGGAAATCCCTTGCTGCGAGATATTGCAGTCACGGGTCATGAATGTTTAAGCAGGAGTTACTGCCATCCAGAGGAGAAAAGCCATAAACTGTCATATTTCATTATTTTTTAAGCAAAGAAAGGCAAACCTAGATGGTTGATTCAGTTTATTTCTTATTAAGGAATCAAAGAACAGAGAAATAGTATAAATGTACCCAGAGGTTTCTGTGGGGTTTTATATGTCGGTATTTGTGAAACAAAGTTCAAAGCAGCACTGGAGAAGCACAGTAAGACACATCTATAGAGGAAGACACACCAGGTCATAAACCAGATTTATTTTCCTCTCTGGCATTTGAGGTATTTAAGGAAGAGGTTTTAGAAATCCCTTTGCTAGGTTCCAAGCTTTGGACATGACCCAGAATGTGGAAAGGGGATGTATGATCTGTATCTGTATCCCAGGCCTCTGGGGAGGTGCAGGCCCCTTGTCAGAGGCGTTCACTGGGGAAGCTGTTGGCTGTGGCAGAGAACACACAGGGCTGTTAAAGCAGGACACTGAATGAGGATGTGGGTGAAGGTAGTTTCCACGACTCCTGATAATCCAGATAACACAAAACCTCTGGGTGTTCAACCCCAAATAAGAAGTCCTTCTTTATAATCCCTCTTTCCCACCCCCAAATACCAAAACCCCAGCAGAAAACAAAGAAGCAGGTGATTCTGGGAAAAATAAAAGGAAAAAGGATGGGAAGTTGTTTATATCTTCTGCCCAGAGTGTCCCTAGAGTTTAGAAAGAATAAAAGTTCTCAGCAGAAGGAAAAACAAATGGGGGGGACGGGGACGACCCAGACACACGGATTAAACTATTGAAATATAACACCCTTTTTGGACAGCCACCTTCAGTCACCAGCATGGACAAAATCCAAGAGTGGTGATAAATTTTTCATAAAAGCCAGTAATGATAGTCCACCCAAGGAAGGTATTTCAAATGGCATCTTACCTGATCAGTATCTGAAGGCCCTTCTAAATGGTGATTTCAGTATTTTTTACCTCGTTAGGGACTAGGTTCTGGGTGCGCGCATTTCTCCTGATGTATATTCTGCGCATGAAAACATAACGTGCGCATTCCGACCTTTCTTGTGTTTGCACGGTGAAAACGGAGCCCCACGGCCACGGCACGGGGGGCGTTAGGACCCCGCGCGGGCGCACCCAAAGTGCCCGCCGGGGCCCGGCCCGCGGCGAAGCAGGGCTGGCAGCGCCCTCTGCTGGGCACAGGGCGCAGCGGCGGGCGGGAGGGCGGGCGGTAGGACCCGGGGTTTGCGGCGCCGCTGCCAGCCCCGCGAGCAGCCGCAGGAGCCGCCTGGGGACGCGGCAGCTCCGCAGCCGGCAGCGGGCGGGTTGCGACGCCTGCAGCTGGGTGCAGCCCAGGTCAGCTCCTGAGTTACTTCAGGGCAGGCGGTGGTGTAACAGATGTCGCTGGCATGCAAAAGGTGAGATGGTGCTGCGGGTGTCTTCGCTACAGATTCGCAGCTGAGCTTACAGTGGTTGGTTCCCAAACTGAAATGATACCGCCTGGTCGAGGCACATTACTACTGCGTCTGTACACAAGTGTTAGAAACGTAGGAACGGTGAAACCCCTGCAGTTACAGCCGAGGTGAGAGAGATTTGAAGCCTCACGCTATGGGTGAAGAGCCCTATAAGCTCTTTCCCTTTTTGCTACTGAGTAGCAGAGTCTCCTGGCCCTCAAAAAGGTCATTAAAAGGAAGGTGGGGCTTTCAGGAGGGGAAATTCTCCCATCAGAGGGTAATTCTCTTGAATTTTAGACCATACTAATGACACCTACTAAACCTTCCCTTCCAGATTTTACCCACAAGTGGACTGGACATGTAACCCAGGAAGCAGAGTGAAACCCAGATTCTCTGTGAATGCCGCCACGTATTAGCAGCTGTGAAAGCCGTGCTTCTGCTTCTTATGCACATGTAGGGCCAAGCCGTGTTAAATGGATTGATTCTTTCCTCAAGGGTCTTTACTTAATGGAGGAATTTCAAGAAGGATCCCAGCCTGAGACCAGCGACGTGGCTGCTCTACCCTCAGATTTATATGTCGAGGTAGAAGAGAGGTCAAACACACTGAGCCTTCCACTTCAGTAAGTTATGTGCCTGATGACCTGCTCTAGGAATAACTATTGATCTCTGCTTATAACTCCCGTTAAGAGTCCTGTACATATCGACAGGCCTGGAACCCCAGATTTAAATACCAGGAGTGACAAAGACAACCAAGCAAATATCTTAGCTTGTTGTCTGCAAACTTTCCCTCTGGTAAAATATTTCTGTTGTGATTTTTGCCATTGACACAAAGAATCTGAAATTGTACTAGTTCATAGGCATGCAAAATAACGTATTCATTCAGAATAATTTTAGGATTTTTAAATAGGTTATTTTTCCTTCTTCTCCTGTATATTGCTGAAACATAAAGGGAAATGGGAAATTATTAATCTTAGATGGGAAAAGGGAAATTATTGTCAATAACATATGTCATAGCCCATTAAAAAGTTCCATAGAATACCCTGTTGGTTCCACTCAGCTACCCAGCACATGGAAACTGAATGAAGTTGGTAGTAAGACAGGACAAGCCTTTGTCACTGTACCAGATACCTTCAGTAGAGCATTGTGTCATCTCTAGCTCCATCACAAGGTGATCTGCTTCAATGGCATGTGAGGGGCAATTGTTCCTGAAGGCAACAGATAACCCTAAACAAGCAGCATTCAACAAAAGCAGAGCAGAAATCACTAGCTACTATTTCCAATTAGGAAAAAGAAAAAGCATCATGAAGAGCTACATTTTCCAGAGCCAAAAATTATGTTCTATTCCATATGGTCTATATTTTTAATATTATAATCTAAACAAAAATGAACTTAATTTAGAAATCTGCATTAAAATCTGGAAGACGCACTGTTGAGATGTAAGGAGGTGCATGGGCCAGTACCCAAATCATTGGATATAATTTTCCACTACATTTGTCTGACTAAATCCATGTAGACTTTGAACAAGTTTGGCAAGAGCCTTAGTGGTTTTGTTTTTACAGCCATATGAAGGGAAAAAATCTCATGTGTATCGAGTGTCCCTGGAAATGGGTAAAATCATTGTGGTAAAATGTGTTTATCTATTTTAAGACAATCATGAATCAAGACAATTCTTTGAAGACAATTTATAGTAATAATTTCATGTCTGTTCCTTGAGTTGCCTAGTCTACATAGCTGCCTAAATGGGTGCCAATGCAAACAGTCCGTATTAGGTGCTGCCAGATGAAATCATCACCCATTTTAGTGCCCCTTACCAAAGCATGCTCCTCATTGGCAGCCTTCAGTGCGTAAACAAACTGCTGAATCATCTTGCTAGCTCAGAGAGTGACGGTGAAAATAAATTCCTTCTCAATGCAGCAGTTTAGTCATTTGAGACAGGAAATCACTTTGTGTTGGGAAGTAGTACTGGGTAAAACTCAACCAGTTTCCAGAACAGTGAAAGGCTCAGGTTGCAGCAGGAATGATGTGATTATGATGGGCAGGAAGCAGAACAGGACAAGTTCCAGCAAAAAACTCCATAGAACACAATAGTGAATATTGTTCTTGATGTAGATCTTTAGTAGGTGGTTCAAAAAAATTATACCAAGGTTAATTCTACAAATCCATTAAGCTCATAGAGCTGTTTTGATAGAATTCTATTCAATATGGTAGGATTTTTCTATAGAAACACTTGTCTGTGCCCTGCATCAACCACCCTGAGCCCAGTTCTACAGAAGTATCTTCACAAATAATGACATAAAGAAGGAGATACAGAGAACTAGATGGGGAACCATGAAAACATGTGTTCCTTTTCTCTCCCATTTTAATCAGCTGCAGTACCTCATTGTCCATGAAAGCTGGCAGAGGCATCAGTGACAAGTTGCCACAACATAAAGGGGCACAGACTGCTCAGCAGTACTTTGAGAGGTATTTCTTGTGCAGAATCTGCACCAAAGCTGATTTTGCTTCCTCTCTGTCACAGCAGAGGCTAAACTTTGGAGTGGTGTCAAGTCTGGTTTTATGATACTAAATTCTCCCTGGGAATTTATGAGGCACTCTCTTTGGATTTAATTTATCCCTTCAGGGAGTGTGGGTTATAGATGAGTCATTTTAAGCCTGCTGACCTCAGTCACCTTCTGTGACAGGTAAACTCAAGCTTAAAGTGAAAAGATCCCCAGAGTCACTGGTTTCTGCTAAAAGGATGCATGTGTGCTATCAGAATACTGAAATAATCAGAGAAATGTGATGCAAATTGGGGCAGCTTCCTTGGAGCAGTGCTGCAGACACAAAACACAAAAGTAATGTAAGAACCACTGAGGTTTAATTCCAGAATCGTTAATTCTTCCCAAATGGTCCAGATTTAAATAGAATAAAATTTGATAGTGAATCCCACTTTATATGATAATACAAGGGACTAATAGCAATTACCTGTTGAATGGCAATGGAGCTGAGCAGCGTTTGAGGCATCTGGGTTACTCAGTGAAGACTTGAAAGATTCCCCAAAGAGGTGCTGCCTTTTGTACAGCTCACTGTAATCTACCTGTAAATCTTCAAATCTTCATAATTTTCATGGCTGTTTTACATGTCAAAAGTTCAATTTCAAGCGGAAATACTTACCAATCTACCTGCAGCTTCTTTGCATGTCTGTTGGGCAAGGAAGTGTGCTGGTATTTTCAGCGTCTTTGTAAAGCTATGGAGTATATTTGGACATATTGTGGAAGGCAGTAAACAATGCAGGGCATTCCTGGGGTGAGTTTTGTCACTAGTTTATGGTTTTAAAACTCAAAGCTCCACGCTGCAATTTAAGGATTTGTAGTTATTTTGAACAAGGGAGAAATTAGAAGATGATGGATTGTATTATAGGAGACTTATTTAATGCCCTATTCAAACACTATCCAGATATTTCATCCGAAGTCTTCATCTAGAGTCAATATTACATGGGATCAGCTATCTGAAAGAAAATGATGGAACATTTTCTTGGCTGTTAGGCACCTGAGAAATATAGAATTTGATGATGCCAAACTATCTGCCATATGTGTACTTTCTCTAGTCTTATTTTCCTGAATGAAATGTGGTTACCACAAAGGATATTTCCAGTTGAAAAGGAGAGAGCAGCTAGATTCAGCTTTCCTAGACGTGGTCTATCTCTTAGCAAGTGTTTTACAGTTTCTATTGCAAATTTGAAGAGAAGTTTTTCTCATTAACAATCATTACTTTACATTTTCAGCACAGAAAAAAATTAGGATGTTGAGGTAAGTTTCAAGCCACCATTTTAGAGTTTAAAGAGTTAGTGCACTCGCTGGGATTAAACCACAGGCACCCGTATACTTACCAGACCATTTATGGGTTTTATTCCTATTTTATCCCTTAAACAAAAGTGAAGAAATAATAGAATTACATTTACATATTTACTTAAAAGAAGATAATTTATAAACTATTATAAATAGTAAATACCTAATTCCAACTTTCAAACAAATAAGACCCAAGGAAAAAAAAAAAAAGAAGGTATTTCTGTAAGATGTAATATAAGAACAGCTGTAAGGAAAAGATTTCTGATTTCTTTAGGTCAGTTTTAGAATCCTAGGTAGTTTAGGCTGGAAGAAACTTCTGGATGTCTTCTAGTCCAAGCCCTTTCTCCAAGCAGGTATCGTTACATCAGGTTCCTCATGGTTGCATCCAATCAAGTTGAAATATCCAGACAGAGATTCCGCAACCTCTATTAAATGCTGATTGCTGCAATGCACTGGTAAGAAAGCAATTCACATGAAAAATTATTCCCCATTTTTTTCTGGATACAATTTGGAATGTTCCACTTTTTATCAGAGGCCTTTCCCATTTTCTGGATTGCATATGTCCAGTTCAGGTATCATATGTCTGATATCTGGTAGCAGCTAATGGGTTCCAAGAGGTACCTGCTCCGTTTAGTCTTGTACAAGCTTACAGTGATAATAATGAGTTAAGTAGCTCAGAGTGCAAAAGTTAGCGCAGTAAGTAAAATGTTTGGTTGCTCTATGATTTACAGCTGGTTTGTTTCCTTGTTTACAAAACTGGCTGGAGTTATTTTTCCCCTCAAGCTATTTTAAAGCTGTACTTCATCGTCTCTGAAGCATTTTTTAGATATTTCACTTCATCTACAGCATTTTGTTTCTTTATCCAAAGTTTTAATGGTCTTTCATTTATGCTTCATATGAAACTACTGACAAAAGCCTTAGCCAGTGTCAGAACCTGTATGCTCAGCCCTGCACAAATGCATCAGGAGGATTTCCTTGTGGGTCAATTAGCTCTTTCTGCTTTACCATGTCCTCATCCTTGGATCTGCCTGGGGGCAGCTGTGGTGATTTCTGGGGGAGCAGGAATAAGGACTCGCTTCTCCTCACCTTGGAGCAAGATCCTTGTTTTACATCTAATGTCATTTTTCTGGACAACAGTCACTGCAATAATCAGCTTTGCAGATTTAATTCTCTCTTAGGCTTTTGGGGGAGGTGATAAAAATCTGTAAATTGTCATTGTCACCAGTATTTAAGAACAGTCCCTTAAAATGGTGCAGTGATTTTAACTCATATCTTTGGACAAACTCTGGAAAATCTAGCATCATTGCTAGAACCACTGGTAGCCCTTCTCAGTGTGTAAATCCCATGTGGGTTCACAGCCCCATGAAGACTTCACTGACCTCTGTAGAACTGGGGAGCAGAGGTTTTGCCTCATTCCCCCCTGATGTGTCCTGTCTCTCTTCATCTTCTGTCTCCTCTGCTGTGCAGATCTCGGAAGATCAGAAGGTCAGAAGAGCCAGGAAAGCTGTTGTGATTACTTCTATGGCAAAGCAGTGCTTCAAGAAACACATGCCAGAGACATAGTTGTCTGCTGCTACTTTGGTCTCAGCTAGTTGCAGAAGACAGGGTTTGGCCTGAACTCCTGGTGGGAGCCTCTTCTTCCACCTTCCTGGGAGACCAGTGCTGTGCCAGGTCAGTTCCCCTGCCAGAAATGAACATGGGGCATCTTGTTTAAACTGGGAAGCTGATAGTGTTGAACTCATCTATTTGTATAAGCTAGCTGGCTATCCTCTTGCCATTTCTAATGTAAATCTACTATGGTATTGTGAAACTTTATTTATTTTAAGCTTGCAATATTTACCAAAGCAAGATGTACAAAAAGGGTCCTTTCTAACTTCCATTTTTCTACTGAGTTATTTGTTGGAAAGATATGTTCATGTATAATTAAATGTGGCTTGCTTAAACCTTTGCAGTTGGTAGCTTAATATATATTTGGTTGTACTTTGAGTACAAAGGCTATATTATGCTTTTGTTGGCATCCTTGCTGGTTAGTATGCCAACTGCATAATTTTGTTCTCTGCTATATGTCAGGATTCGAGTGCCGAGGGCTCAACAGGTGGTGCTGGGATAAAGTTCTGGCAAATCAAATAGGTAATGCGGTTATTTCTTTTGTCAAATTATAATTGAAAACAGAGACAAGTAAAATGAAACTCACATTTTCCTGGTGCAAAACAGGGTTTAGAATTAAATTCAAATCAGTTTCCATGACAAATACACATTACTACCGGAGCTTGGTCTGTAAATAAACATGCAACACCTTAGTTTTGATGTAGAATGATTTGTTCCCTGTAAATTTAAACCTTAAACATCAGTGTTTAAGCAATAACAGACGGCTAGAGTCTTCCATGAATCTTCTTTCTTGTACAAATTTTGTAGAAAATGTGCCAAAAACTTCAGGAAAACTTTGAAGAGATTTAAATCTTAAAAAGTCAAAGAATTTGAGACAATCTGTGATACATAACTCAAATGTTTAACATCGGGAGTTTCCTGCCATATTGTTTTCTAATCATTGCTAAACCATGCTCCCAGCAGAAAAAGATAAATACAGTGGAAATTCCAATGAATGTGCTGAATGAGGTGCTGCTTATTTTATGTTTGACTTGGATAATGTTTATTAATCCTAAAATCATAAAAATGGGATAAAACCGTCTACAACAAAAATGCCACAAATTATACATGCATAGCTTGGTTTTCCAAAATTGCTTGTAAAAAGACCTATACACTTGCAAGCCTATCTGCTTTGCTATTGTAGCCAATTTTTTTATACCGAGATGTTTTTATTTTCCTCTGAGGACCTATCTAAAGCTCATATGTATAATCTTATCTTCTGCTCCTGCAATCATTGTGGTTTTATTTAGTTTTCCATTCCTCCTCATTCAAAGACATTTCTCCTAAACTGTAATTTTCTCGATTCCAAGTTCTGTTTTGTCAGACCTGAGCCCATCATCCACTAAAGCAGCTTCCCACAGTGGCTTCCAGTTCCTTGGGCTGGTCACAAATATCTTTGTCCCTGCCAAGCTCTTATTTACTGAAGGCTTTACATTTGTATGAGACAGGATGGTACATTCTCTTCTCTCACTTAATAACTCTTTTCATAAGTGATCAGGAACTAAGCAACATGAGAAAAAGGTATAATGTTTAATCCATAAACCTCATTATTTTTACTTTTTATATGCCATAGTTTCTATTGTTTAGTCCTAGCAGACTGTTTCTCTCCCACAGCAGCAGGCTGAGGTAGTGATGCTGACTACCAAGGCTGCTGCAGGCAGTGGGACCACTGCCTGTGCCCTGGCCTGGGGTGCACAGAGCAAGATGTGAGAAACTACTGGACATGGCACAAGAAACTGCTGGACCTGAAAGATCACAGAGTGAGAAGCTGGCAGCTTTACAGAGAGTACTGTGAGGAATTCACAGGTGGTTAAGGAGGAGTTATGTGAGAAACAACCAAAATTCACAAGAAAGGTGAAGGTGAGCCCTGGGGATGTTTTGGGGAGTTGGGATAGTGTGAGGCTAACAGTACCAGGTAACAGTATCAGCTTACCCACGTGAGGCTGAGATCACCCTGAAATGGTATCACAAATACCAAAAATCAGATTCAGCAGCTACACGTGTGGAAAATGGAGCAGAGATTGACTGGATTCATGGAGAGCTGCTAAATCCATGAGCCTTTAAGGTATTAGTATTTGGTTACTAATTTGTTTAATTTCTTCGCACTTTTCAGTATGAAGGTACTTAAGGACAGCAAGACATTGGCATAAGGATTCCAGTTCAACGTAACCCTCTTCACAACCCCATGCTTGGACTGACTGCATTCCTGGGAAGCAGGGCACAGCTTTGTTAACCCAGTAGAGTTGCACCCAGTTGCTTCAGGAGTTAATTTGGCAGCTTCACTGCAAGGAACCGATTCAGAAGGTATGAAGCATATTACAGCCAAAGTACTATTAAACTCTTTGCCTCTTTAGAATCCTTTCACTGCACTACTGCATTTCTGGACTGACCTGGGACGTGCCATGAGGACTGATCCCTGCTCTCTATGGTTCTTCATTAATGCTCAATGCATGAGAGAAAGTGTTCTGTTTTTTCTTTTTTTCTTTTAAAAAGCTATGTTGAATATTTATCTTAAACCTCAGGTAGCTGTTTAGAAAAGAAACAGCTGAGAATCAGATAATGTACCCCTTTCATTGACAAAAGATTTATGTCTTGCCTGGCAGGACTTCATACTTAGAGAGCTCACAGCTGACATAGTCAAACACAAGTAGCATGTAGTCCAGTGTTTATCCAGGGGACCCAAGACTGCTGCTCCCACACTTTATTGTGTGAAATTAAATCAGCCTTTGAAATTGGCAAAGATTTAAAAACATCATAAAAATCCTATTTGAAAGGGGGAAGAGAGGCTCAGAGGCAGTTTGAATCAATGAACACCGTGCAAAAATAAGTAGGGTATGCATGAACATTTCTGCTGACCTTCTACAGGAGCCATCTGTCTAGTTGCAAGGCACCCTCTCCGCCATGGGCACGGGTGAGGAGTTCAGCCACGACGCCTACCACCCTTCCCCCACAGCTGTCAAAACTATTGTTTGGTTCTAGCATATGTACAGTAAAATTCCATGCTGTGCCAAAAAGAGAAGGGAAATAGTATGAAATGTGTTCTTTGCGCCGGACTACATGTAACTCGGTGTCACTGACTGTTTAGACAGAGGGTTTATCTGCATTTTAGCACAACTTTTTAGTCAATGTGTAAAAAACAAGTAGAATAGTAAAGTTAAGTTCTGCATTTCCCAGGAGATCCTTTATTTTCTCCAAGGATAATAGGAGTTTCCACCAGCTTTGCCACAGCTCAAACAAAGAAATGAAGAAGGAATAAACGTCTTTTGCAAATAGTGCTGATACTCAGAAGAGCCCTCATGGGAAGCTGGAAATAGGAGAAAGGGATTTGGTACGCCTTCATTTCACCAAGTGAGCAGGTAAACCTGTATTTTTTTCTCTTTCAATGTCCTTCATCACTCTGCCAGTCCAGCCAGCCATACCCGGAGAACGGCTACTGATTGGCATACAGTTTAAATTGCGCACTGGAAAGCACAGGCAGAATTTACCCCAGAGGAAATAAATTAACCATACATATGTTTAAGGTGGGAAATTCATTTGCTGGTATGCATCCCACAGCTGGAAAGCCTAATGTTAACGCACGCAACTAAATGGCCACAGACCTGGATCCCATTTCTTCTTCAGACAATATTCTTTTTCATCAGGCAAGTCACAGTGTTTCTTCTTAAATAGTTTCATCCATAAAAATGAAAATGCACCTTCATGACTTTCACTCCAGTGAGGATGGTGGAGCTAATCTAATTTGGTTGTGAAATTAAAATGCTCACATAGAAACAGACTCTTGAAATCCAAAGTTTTATTTTTCCATGCTGTTCCATTGTAAAAATGTGGCAGCTTCTTCTACGGTACTTACATAGAGAGTAACAGTGGTTTGGGGTTTTTTTTCTGTTTTTTTTTTACATGGCTAAAAAATTGAATAAAATCTGTCCTTTGCCTTTCCATATGCAATATTTGACTAATTGAGAATTAGAAATGCAATATCTACTTTATATTTATCTGTTAGAAACAGCCTATAACTGGTTTGATTTGAAGGGGTGGGGAATATTTTTTCTATATGTAATTGTCATCATTTCCTGTGAGAATGCATAATGAAGCACATATATTTGGAGGCACAAATACGGGGGCAGGTGAAGTAAGTATACATATGCTTGTGTGAAAAGCTGTTCATACATGAATGTACATATATACTTCTCACAGCTGAACCCGGAACCAGATTTCTGATTGTTCTTGAGTTTACACACAAACAAAAAATGAATAATTTAAACTGAAAATATCATTTCTGTGTATTATTTAAAAATGGGGGGAAGAAGGGAAATCCTCCAAGATAGCTATAATTTCTCCTCTCTACCGGTCCTGTTACAGCCCAGAAATACATACTTAGAGTTATATTTTTTTTCTCAGTTCAATGTACCAGGTTTTAGCTATTCAAATCCCTTTTCCCATTAGTGTAAGTTAAGCTGTTCATCATTTGCGTGTGGATGTTGCCCTACTTCTGTGCTCTGCCTCTGTGCACTTTCAATTCATTTTACCTGCTCTGGTGTACCAGGTAAGTGAACCTGCTCTGGCCTGTGCCACGTGCCTGAACTTCATAACAGTGTAGGAGATGGGGTTGCTACCTTACTGAAATCTATTTAAGCCCTTTTTTTTTTTTATGATTTTGTTATGATTAGTGAGTGAGACTAAACCATTTGTAGTGCATTTATTAGCAGAAACAATATTGAAAGTAATTTGACCCCTACAGTACTTTCCTTTTTAATAATACTATACAGTGGCAAAAAGGCTATGAAATCATGTGTAGAGATCTTTATCTTAGTTGAACTGGTTGAAATACAGACAATGGAAATTCCCTGGGTTGACATTGGTATAATAGGAAGCAGCATATGGCCTGCTCCTCTGAGCAATGTGCTGTCACCACAAACTACCTCACCGTACATAGCTAACATAAAAAGTTTGTCAGGCAGCTCCTGTGAGCTCTTTATTTATGGCTACTCTATCATCTAAATAAAGCCATGTTTTTCATGATTAGAAACATAACAGTCTTGCAAAATCTGAAGTTGTATAAGTGAATGTGAATGCTTTTATTATGAAATCATTTTTTTCTGTAAGCACTGCAGAAATCAAATAATGCCATACTGTGTTACTCAACTGGCAGGTCAAGTGTGATATGAAGGCACTCGGCTCAGAAGACCTCTCCTAGCAGGTTGCGTCTCACCCAAGGACTATATTAACATTATTTTCTCTCACAGGACTCGAAAAGTTGGAAACTCAAGCTCATTTTTGTCATCAGCTTCTTCAGCTGGTAACTGTGCCTCCCCTAGCATATGTGCACAGCACCTCACCTGATGATGGTCTAACCCAAGGGGAGGAGGGTGTTGTGTGCCACAGCTGTGAGCAGCTGTACCATTTATCTCTGGAGTGATGGTCCAACAGCTTACCTGAGGAGTAAGAGCTGAGGTAAGACATAGACTAAGATACCTGGATACCAGTATTGTTTAGTGTTCAAATACATCCAGGAAAGCTAAGCTGCTAACTTTCTAGGTATAGGGAAAGAATTATGTACTAACAAACATCCCCATACTCACATTCAACTCCTCACAGAAAGACAAGTAAAAATTATCAAGCTTTGCAGCAATTTACCTTAAAATGGCAAGGTGAAGTAAACAAAGGAGAAGCTAGGACAGTCCTCAGGGATTCTGGTAAACCTGACTGTTGTATCAAACAAACTGGTAGAAGTTGTAAAAAGAATCACATTAGTTAACATGGGGAAAAATACATCCCTCAGAGAGGAGTCCTTTTGCAGCACACTGTCATACACCTCCCAGACCTACTAGAGCTCGGTGGAGGGACCCACGTGTTGTGCCTTATGAGGAAACCCCAACAGCCCAGTAAAATGTGCCCCCCCACCCCCCCGAGGCAGAACTGCATACTGTTGACCTTACTGAGTGAACTAGCTGTGTTAGAGTCATAAAAATCTGTTGCAGTTATAACTAATATTACAGGGCTTTGGTTTTCTTGTTGGATGGAGCAGAACTCTCTGTACTTCTTACTCTTTTTGAAAGCTGCAAGCCAAATGTCTCATGTATCAATTAGACTGAAAATGTGCTGCTGGAGCTGCCTATGGAATATAACTTAATGATGAATTGCATGCATGCTGTAGAGAGACATAGCAGGATGTTATTGCCATTGTTCATCCTTTGGTATTTGGTTTGCAGCGCCTAAGCCTGTTAATAAGCAGTTTGTCCTGCTTTTACTCTGGTGCATTTGACGCCAAGAGTGAATTTCCTCTATATGCTTTTCCACTGTAAGCTTTGCCAAAGCTCTTTTGTTCGGTATGTCAGTCAGCTGTGATCTTGCTTTAATTGTGCCAATAACTCATGTCTGGAGATTATTCATTCTGATCTGGTGTAACTACCATTGTGTCAGGCTGAAGCTGATGGAGACATTGCTCTTGTGCAGACCTAGGACAGGCCTGTGGACAGCAAGTGTGATTCTGAGCCTTTCTTCAGGTGCCCTGGAAGGCACGCTAAGACTGTAAAAATACTGATTTTCTGTATTATGTACAAAGAACAAGGAGTTCAACAGCTCATGCAGTCCGAGTGCTCCTTTTGGAAAAGATTTTACCTCAATGTTTGTCAGATTTGTTCCAGAGATTTTTATTTATTTTTGGATTGTTACCAAGAAAGTATGTAAAATTAATGTCAGGAAAATTACTTGAGTAGTATATATTACACAGCACTAACTACAGCAAAACCAATGTTAGTTCTAACACTATTATTCCCTTCTTTGTGGGTGGATGGGTTAGATTATGGTTGCTCGTAACTTTGCAATAACAGTTGTATATCACAGGCTGATTCTTTTAAAGAAAACTCAGCTGAAAGAGATGAGCCATTTCTGGCCAGGGAGAATATATCACTTACTTGATAAAAGATATAAAAGTGAGTCATACATTGTTCATGTGCATAAACTAAACCACAGAAAATTCCACCTGAACATGAGGAAGATAGATGACTTCATTTTCATTAGCTGTTGAAAGTTTGAACGGAACGTTTCCTTGCAATATATTCTTTTCTTCCAACCCCTTCCCTCCCACACCTTTTTGCTTCTTTTACAAAGTTACTTTTGAAACAAACTTCTATTGGCATATATGCTGTTCCAGCTTTCATCCTTGATAAAAACTACAATAACTAAGGGGCAAACTTTACATAGTAGTTCATGAGTAAATGGAATTTAATGGGGTCAGTTATCCCCACATGCTTATGTGCAGGTTTCATTAATATTAATAGGTTATAGACATGCATATTGAGCTGAAGAATAGGCTTTCACTGGCCTCTACACTATTTTGTGTGTGTGCTGATTTAGAATTATTCAAGAGAACATGTTAATTTTCAAATGTCTAACACGTTAGCTGCAGAGAAAAAAAACAACCAACACATCCATTACACCTGCAAGAAACAGAAAGGTTGAAAAAAAAAATAGATTAAGCATGACTAAAACAGTGCAGATGTTGTTTGTGCTTTTTCCATGATTTAGAATCACATTACATGCCTATGTCTCCATAAATATTTAATGAAATGGAAATGAATATGTAGCAGGCTGGGTTCTTCCCTCTAAGGGTTAAGTTCCATTTCTGCAAATTGGTTTGTGCCCTATTTCTGTTCCTGTGTCTCTGTGCATCCAGACATTTTCTTGGCATCTCTAACTCTTCTGAGGTTTCAGGAGATCTTTGGAGATTTGCTAGTAATTGACCTGCTTGGATTGCACATGACTGGCATTTTCTAAAAGATAATACAGTCTTGCATTTTGTTGTTAAGTGCTGGTTGTGTTATTAACTTGTGGCCAAACCAGAATAAAGGCTCAGGAGACATCATTTTCCCTTAGACAACTTCATTTGTTTCTTACCGTAATCTCCATTATAAATGAAGCACTTTGGTCTCAGCTGAAACCAGTCACATATTCTTTAACTTGTCAGACATGTTTGTCCAGTAATGAATACACCCCACTTTGCTCAAAGTTTCTTTTTAAGATGTTACTGTACACTAAGGGTAAACAGTCAATGTCTCAGCCAAGTCAGATGATTTAACCTTCTGCCACTTCTCTAACCACTAAAGAATTCCTGCCCCTGCTCACCGGCTATTTGAACACGTGTGTTTTCTGAGAAAACAGGGTTATCAAGAGAAGTAAAGCTGATGTTTTCTCCTTAGAAAACAGGAATAATTAATAAGCTTAGGTCCACTCTATCCCAAAGGAGACAAACTGAATGAGCACTGTTTGTTTTAGGTTTATCATGTAACAGAAACAGATATTGCCCCCAGCTACAATAGCATAATTCTGGAGGAGCCTTCAGGTTTAGTTCTGCTGTAATTTAAACAGGTACTATCATCTCAGTAGCACATCTGATTTCAGCAAAGTTCCTAATGTTTAGCACCATCTTTAACAGCTAAGAAAATTATAAATTAAATTAGAACCTAGAAACAATGAATTAACGCTAACCAGATAAACACATGTAATCACTTTCTGCAATACGAGAATTAATACCGCTGATCTTTGCAAGTAGCAGTGACAACTCAAACACAATGCCTTGGGGCCTTCAATAACCTGAAGGCCAATTAACTACAGCGAGGACTTTTTATATTAAGCTTTGTATTAAATAAATTCAACACAAATCTATTGAGGCCAATAAGGATTTTTAGGCAGTCTAGCTAAACTTTACCTCAAAAGTGATCAAGCTACATAGGATTCTGGCTTATGAGATATCTGATTTGTATATTACCTTCCACTAATGCAGGTGCTTAAGATGAAAATAAGAGCAAATAGGAGATGGAGATAGAAAAATTCTTCTGTCAGTACAATTTTGTATCTTTCATTGGGGATATATGTTAAAAAATACAAAATATATATTTATACAAAAATGTATAAATACATATATTAATTATTCTTTACTTATTTATCTTATATACCATTTATATCTACTATAATATATATTATAAACATACATATTCAATGGTATATTAATATCTATTCTATATTGTATTGCATTAGATCATATTATATCTTATGTTGTATTATACTATACTATAATATGATACTATGTATAGAATATAATAGAATTCTGTTAGAGTCCATTATATTCTAGTATATATTAGTAAATTCTATATTATATTTATATAGGATGTAACAGAATTCTAGTAGATTCTATCAGATGCTAGTATATTCTGTCGGATTCTAGTATATTCTAGTAGATTCTATATTATGTAGTGAATGTAATGGAACTGTATTAGATTCTACGATATTGTTAGATTCTATCAGGTTCTATTATATTCTATACTATTAGATCCTATTAGATTCTATCAGATTCTGGTAAATTCTGTCAGAGTATATAAATGTAATATATGTTTATCTAGAATATACTAGAAGTCTATTCGATTCCATCAGATGTATATTCTAGTATATCCTATAATATATTTAGATAGCAATATAATTCTATTCAATCCTATTAGATTCTAATAGATGCTATATTTATATATGATATAACAGAATTCTATTGGATTCTAGTATATCCTATTAGACTCTATCAGATTCTAGTAGATTCTATAGTATATAGCAAATGTAATTGAATTTTATTAGATTCTACTATATTATTAGATTCTATCAGGTTGTAGTATATTACATTATATTCTGTATTATGCTTATATAGAAAGTAATAGAGTTCTAGTATATTCTAGTATATTCTACTATTCTATACCTATATATAATAGATGTCTATTAGAGTACATTAGAATTTAGTGTATTCAAGTGTATTCTATTAGATTATTATACTTATATAGACTATAATAGAAGTCTATTAGATTCTGTTAGATTCTATTCTATTATATTCTGATATATTCTAGAATATACTATATTCCTGTAGTAGATTGTAATAAAATTCTATTAGATTTTAGTAAATTCAATTATATATAATACTTACATAAAATATGATAGATTTCTATTGGATTCTAATATATTTCCTTAGATGCTAATATATTCAGCTAGCATATACGATATAGTATATTTATATAATAGATTTCTGTTGGATTCTATTAGATTCTAGTATATTCTAGTTTGTTCTATCAGATTCTAATATATTTCCCTAGATTCTATTGGCTTCTAAAATATTCTAGTATATTTTCTTAAGTTCTAGTATATTCAATTAGATTATATTACACATTGTATTTGTATAAAATATTATAGATTTCTATTGGATTCTAGTATATTTCCTTACATTCTATTGGATCCTATTGGATTCCAGTAGATTCTAGTATATTTCCTTAGATTCTAGTATATTCAATTAGATTATAGTACATATTGTATTTGTATAAAATATCATAGATTTCTATTGGATTCTAGTATATTTCCTTAGATTCTATTGGTTTCTAGTATATTGTATCACATTCTAGTATAAAATAGGTGTCTATTGG